TAAAACTGGAATTTCAGACAGTTGTTAGCTGCCATGTGGGTGCTGGGATTTGAACCCAGGTCTTCTGCAAGAATAGTTAGTGCTCTTAACCACTGAGCTATCTCTCCAGTCCCACCCACCCTCTTACTTTTCTGTTTTTAAAGCAGAGGTGTTGTTCTACTTACTGTCTTTTTTTTTTTTTTTTTTTCCTGGAAAGGGTCTTGGTATATAGCCCAGGCTAGCCACCACACGCAGCTGCTCTACCTACTCTCTTCTGTTCCTTTTAAAATTAATAATGTGCCTTGTTGTTTATTACCAATTGGGGCAAATGGGACTGCCTCCTTATTTTAGTGTCTGATAGTTTTTATTTGTATTTAATATCTCTATAGAATATTCTTTCCCAAAGCTATACCAGCATCCCTTAATCCAGCATTTATATAATATTCTTTCATAAAGCTAGACCAGCTTACCAAGTCCCTTATAAGTAGGTATGTGAGTTGTTTACAATCTTTCATTATAGTATACCATAACAAGTAATCTTGTACAAAGATTTTATATATGTTCCAATATAAAATGTATGTGAATTCCTTTGTTAGGCACATTTTACATTGCCAAAGATTTGCCAAATTTCCATCCATGGGGTTTGTTAGTAGAGATGTAGATCGTTACATGTATTAGTTACTTTTCTTTTGCTGCAATAAAACACCATGACCAAAAGTGACTTAAAGAAGAAAGGGTTTATTTTGGCTTACAGTTCCAGAGAGATAGAGTCCAAAATGGTGAGGATGGCATGGAATAGGGGCAAGAGTGGGGAGCTGGCTGATCACATTTTATCCACACAAAGGAGCAAAGGGAGTACAGAAAGGGGGATGAGACTATAGACCCTCAGAGCCCGCCCCCAGGGATCTACTTCCTTCAGCAATGCTGCACCTCCTAAAGGCTCCATAACTTCTCCAAACAGCAGCAGCAACTGGGAACCAAGTGTTCACAATCTTGAGCCTATGGGAGCTATTTCTCCTTTAAGCCACCACAGCACATCATATGAAAACATCTATTTCTACATAGCCTACACCATGTAGTCTGATATTAAACTTGGTTTTTGCCAGTATAATAATTGAAGGCCTGAACCTGCAGACTCAACTTGTCTCTTACTATAAATGAGATTGAGCATCTTTTCATAGGTTTAAGACTTAGTTCTAGTTCCTTCCTGAGAAGTTATCCAGAACCCTTACTCACTTTTCTACTGAATTTTGTTGTCTTAGTTTGTAGGAACTTTTTACACATTAAGAAAATTGTCTGTTTCCTCTGGTATGTTATCCACAGGTTCAAAAAAATATATATAGTATAATTTTATGTATCTGAGACTTGTTTTGCCTGCATGTATGAAAGTGCACCTGTGTTGTGCAATGTCCACAGAGGCCAGAAGAGGGTGTTGAATCCTCTGGAACTGGAATTTTGGATGGTTTTTAGCTGTCATATGGGTGTTGGGAGCCAAACTTGGGTCCTCTGCAAGAGCAGCCGGTATGTAACTGCTCAGCCATCTTTCCAGCCCCTATTGGCAAGTTTAGTTTTATGCAGTCAACCTATTACTCTTGTTATATTGTTATAAAGTTATTTTATAATAATGCTTTGTTATAGCTTCTGGATTTTTCCATTTCTCTTAAAAGGCCTTCACCTTGGAGATATTTCAAAATTATTGTAATTTATTCTTGACCTTTTCTGGTTCCTGGTTTTCATGTTTAGCGCCTGAGACAGTTCTGGGCCCTGTGACTTAACTTTCCCTTGCCTGTCTCCTCATCTTCTTACTGTGGGGCCTTTGCCATCCCTCTTTGCTCTTCCCAGCCCAGTTTTTGAGCATTTAGCTCCCTGTTCACTGACTGCTCCAGGAGCAGGATTGTCCTCTTTCACCCATTGGTTGACATTTAGGTGAGCCCTAGTCCAGATGGGGAAGGAGAACTCTAGATCTTTGTTTGAGGGTCTGCCTTGAACTCACAGCCTCCAGAGCCATGTCCCTCTAGAGCACACCTGTTCCCCCTGTTTGAATCCTCACCCTGGCAGTCATTCCTTGTTTGACCTCTTACCTGCTTTCTTCTTAGCCTGCTTAGCCCTCCCCAGGCCTGCCTCCATATCTAGATGCCCTGCCTGCTGTGCACTTTTGCCTCATTGGGGACGTGGCCTGAGTGACAGGCAGATTATAAAACCACAGGATGCACACATTTTTCCCTGTGTGGAGAGAGCCCGCCCTTCCTGCGGCCAGAGATCTGGCTGGCTGTCAACTTTGTTCATGTTCCTTACCATGATTTAATGCTTTGTCATTTTATTTCTTGTGATTACAGAATCTCATTTTCGGTTTCTGCCAAAACCAGTAGCAGTTGAGAAACAGTGTGCTCCTTGAAGAGTAAGTATGGGCTTTTAATATCTTAAATTATGGGAAAAAAGAACAGCTTTTCCAGAGGCTGGGCCATCTCTGGCTTCCTGCCCAGCCTGTGCAGACCACCTGTGCTGAGTGAGACACTGAGTCAGTAGGTATGGTGGGAAGGGATTAAGCACCTGGAGGTCTCCAAAGCTTCACCACACAGTCCAAAAGCCCCTACTATTTTCAAAGACTGTTTCAGGAGCAGGGCTCTGATAAAAAGGTTGCCTAGAAAGCATGGCCTTTGGCAATGACAGTGCTCTTCTGGGAAATGTGTCACTAGAACCAGCCCTGAAGACAGGGTCAGGACATTAGAACTAGAAGGCGACCAAGCAGGAAGCACTAGGGGCAAGCATGGGGCAGGCATTTGGTTAGTTGGGGTGCAAGCAGGCATGGGGTAAGTCAGCCCTGGGAAGTTGTGTTGGGACCATACTGGGTGGCTCCCATTTCATTTGGTAGATGTTAGGCCAGCATAGCCCAGTCCTTGCCGTGAACTGAGATGAGTCCTCTGGGAGCTGGTGATGGAAGGATATTTGATGTATAACAGTAGCATTTGTAGAAAGGAAACAAGGAGAAACGAGGGCTTGGCCCCAGTGCATGACTGAGGGAGCACGTCTGACTGCTGGTGGTCCTACATCTCATGGGACTGTTCTTCTCACTCAACATTCCTAGTTAATGCTGAGCTGAACTGTTCTAAAGGATTGCTTGCAAGGGCCTTCACAGTGTGAATTTTCAATGCTGTGTGGTCTTGTGTGATTGTTCTTATCTACATGTGGCTTTTGGAAGCTTGAAATGTGGCTGGTGCAAGAGAACTGAGCTTGGGATTTTACTAAATTATTGCTTTAAAGTTTATGATATTGGGGCTTGAACCTAGGAAGTCATACTTGCTAGTTGTATGCTGTATCCCTTAGCTATCCTCAGCAGGAATTTAAACTTAAATGGTGGTTTGTATAGACTCAGACAAGTGAACTTCAGCTCTGGTATTGTCACCATTGTATAACTGGAGTGGTGAACAGGAGAGAAGAGTGGAAGATGCGTTGGTGCTGAGGAGGATAGGTGGATGGCAGCACTGTCAGCAGAAATAAGTCAGGAGAAACAGGAAGAGACGTATCTGAGGCATTGTATCACGGGGCAGTCAAGCAGGCATTAGAAAAGTCTAGCAGGAGATCCTGTTGCGGATGTTGATTTTTTTCAATTCCTTGTAGAAGGGAGAGGTAGAGGATGGAGGGGAAAGAAGAGTGAGAAGAGCATTATGGGAGTAACCTGGGGGCAGAGTAGAGAGCATCATGGGACTATTCAGGGAGAGCATGAGCAGAGCATTATGGGAGTAACCAGAGGGTAAGTGGAGAGCATCATGGGAGTATCCAGGGAGAGCGTGAGGAGAACATCATGGTACCCTAGCAGGCATGTTGGAGCTGCGAACAGCAGAGGAAGACTAAGCTCAGCCAGAGTCGAGGAGGAGACAGGCCGCTGTGAAGGCAAAGGAGAAGAACCCAGGCTCGTTAGGCTAGTGAACTTAAGTAATGGTTTTGAGGAATCTGTTTCTCTTTCCAGGGACTAGGTTCAAAGTTAGTGGGGTCGTGGAATGCCACTGAACAATGCTCTGCACTCAAATTTCAAGAACACTTTTTGTTTTCTTTATTCCTTACTTTCCTTCTGGTGTTTTCTTTTCTTGCTTTTCCTTTTTTACTTACTTTCTCCCTCTACCCCAAGCACTGAGAATTGAACCTAGGGCCTTTCAGATGGTAGGCAAATATTCTGCTATGGAGACCGGAACAAAACAAAGCAGCAAACCCACCAAATTTATTCTGAGAACAAAGTCCTACTAGGTAGCCCAGGCTGGCCTAGAACTAGTAACCTCCTGCCTCAGCTTCCCAAGTATCTGGAGAAGTACCTAAACCACTTGGCCTGGCTAAACATACATTGTTTTTCTAGTGGTAGATTTTATGGAGAGAATGTTTACATTGCATAATTAAGGAAAAATTATAAGCAGTACTGAGTGGTTTTTAAAACATACCAGCAAGAATAAGAAATAAACAAATTGGTAACTTGTAATATTAGCATGCTGTTGAAACAGTTCTATGGAGGTATAGCAAATACCTGTGGAGTTGCTGAACTCAGTTTTATGCATAACCAATGCATTGATGTGTATGCAAAGGCAGCGTGAACATGGGGGCCTGTTGGATGGAATTAGAGTTCAGGTCATGCCCCTTATCAACCAGGTGACTTGATGAATATTTGTTCACTTCTGGCCTCAGTGTTCCCATCTTTAAAATGGGAGACATGCTTCTCCTTTCATAATGTTCTGAGACATCAGATGGGAAGAGATGTGTCAATCACTGCATGGGTGATACATCTTTGGCTGTGCTGGTGGTGGGCACAGTAATCGTTTTAGCTGTTGTAATCATCATTATTGCTTTTGGACAAACCAGGACTTCAGCTTGTCAGATTTGATGGCCTATAAGGAGATGTTAGGTTGACCAGTCTTTTGACATACTGATATGACATTGTCACCTACAATCATGTGAGTCACACTCATAACTATAGATACTCTGGAAGGTATGCAGCAGGTTGGACATGCCTGGAAAGCAACGGTCAGTGACAGTGCTTCTGAACTTAATTCCCCTCCTGCAGGGTTTATCTGGATCCACTGACATAGTCTCTATCCAGTTCCTCTTGTGCTCGGTGATAAAGACCCTGAACATATAGCTTTGGTGATAGCAAGTGCAGAGGAGGCTGAGGTCTGTGGTGTGACAATGGGTGGTTCTCCCTGGTGTCAGAATGGCTAGCTCCTCTCTTGTCCTCTGTATTTGTCGTTGTTTTGTTTTGTGCAGAGAATAAGTTCTTTATTAACTGATTACAACTGAAAGTCAAACCAAAACGAAACGAAAAAGGAGTATTGAGACAGAGCCATAGCCACCCCCTTTCCTGAGGTTACCTCACTGTGCCCTGTGTTACAGGGCCCTGGGATACCTCACTTTACACTACAGCTATGTGAAAAGAGTAAATCAAGCAACGAACATTATCAAGTACAAAATATTTGTCAGATGTTATTTTAGCTTCTGGAAAACTGTAATAGGGGATGATAGGCCAGATAGACCCTATGCTTTGGTCACCTGGCATAGAGTCAGAAATTTTAAGTTACTAGATTGGGAAGGAACAGAAGAGGTTTAGAGAATAGGGTCTCACAGCTGATGTGTGGGATGTGTGGAAGAACCAGGTAGGAGAGAGCTGTCTGGAACCCCGAGTGCAGTGCCCCGAGTCCTGTGAATATGGCCTCTCAGTGCAACCCTCCACAGATCACATCACGATTTTCTCCAGATCCATGCATCATCCACTTAGCATTTTTGTTTTCTTGCAGCACTAGGGATTCATCCCAAAGATGTATACGTGCTGCACAAGAGCTGCCTCTGAGCTGTATCCCCATCTCTGGCATTTTCCTTTAGATCGCTTCACTTAAGATTATTCTTAAAATTAAGGTGCGTCTGTGGAATAACTTAAAAGTATCTCTTGGTGCTGGGGAGATGGTTCAGTGGTTAAGAGCTCTGGCTGGTCTTGCAGGGGATCCAGGTTCAATTCCCAGCACCCACATGGTGACTGACAATTGTAACTCCAGTTCCAGGGGAGCCGATGCCCTCTTCTGACCTCCGAGGCCATTGCACAACCTCCGGGGCCATTGTATGATACCTACACACATGCAGGCAATACACTCATACATGAAAAATAATAAATAAAAAAAATTTTAAGTATCTTTTAAAGGTTGGCAAGATGGCTTAGTGCATAGGGGTGTTTGCCACCAAATTTGGTGACCTGAGTTCAAGCCCTGGAACCCACATGGTAGAAGGAGAGAACAACTCCCACAAGTTGTTCTCTGATCTTCACATGAACATTGTAGCCTGCCTGTGCATGCACGCATACACATACACACACGTACCATAAAGTAAGTAAAGTTGAAAAATTTAAAGAATCTGTTAAAATAAGGCTAAATGTCTATAGAGTGCTTACAGTATAAGCCTGAAGACCTGAGTTTGATCCCCAGCACCTAAGTAAAAGGCTAGGTGTGGTGGTGTATGTTTGTAACTCCAGCACTGGAGAGGTGGAGTGCCTAGCCTGCTTACTGAGCCCCAGATCTCACTGAGAGATCTTCTCTCAAAAACAAGGTGGACAGATCCTGAGGAATAACACCCAAAGTTGACCTCTGGCCTCTACATGTACACACACACACACACACACACATGCATGCACGCACGCACACACACACACACACACACACACACACACACACACAAAGTGTGTTAAGTGAAAGAGAACAATGTTACTGACTAACAAGTATCTCCAGGAGGCCCCGGGGCAGAGACCTATTTAATACCACCATCCCTAGAGTTGGTCTCTGACCTTGACAGGACTTGAAGATGAGTTTCTTAGTGTTTGTTGATATTCACTAAAGCTATGTGTCTCCTAAAGTCTGACTTCATATTCTCTATTCTAAGTCACCACACACACCATCAGTCGTATGAGGCCCACAGTCTGGGAAGCCCCAGGCTATACCTTTTTTGGGCTTTCTGATTTTTGGGTCACTGGTGGGCCCTTGTTTTCAAGGTTTTAGTTTTTCTGTCTCCAGCCTCCCTCAAGGCATGTAGAATGTTCTATCGATAAGTACCAAAAGGAAGGGGAGCCGTGTTCTGAAAGAAAGCTGGGCTGAGTCCTTTGTAAGTAAGGGATATTGCAGAGATAGGAACAGTCCTCAGTCTTTATCTGTATAGACAACATGGCTGTCAGAAAGCATTGCATTTTTCTTAGTCAGGGCCTAGTTTCGTTTGGCCTTGTTAGGGAGAGTGTGCAGGTTCTCTGGAGTAAGTCCAAACCTTGCTAAAATGATCATGCTGCATGAAAGACTTCCTTCTGCTGTTGAACGGGATATGGATCCTGATAGAACTTTCCTCAAAAATGTGACATCCCCAGCAGGCACAGGCAGGGAGAGTGTTCTCCACTCCCTCCTTGGTATGCTTGCCTACCCTCTCCAGTGTCAGAGTCTGTGATGTATATGGCCTTGGGCATAAAGTATTCTAAGCCCTAGACTGTTGGAACATTGGTCAATTAAATTCTTCCAGCTCAGCACTTTCTCTGGTGTGGGAGAGTTGTCTTGAAACTGAGTTCTCACATTCATTAGCTCATGTGAAACCTACAACCTGTAAATTTTTACACATCCATGCCCTAGGCAGTGTAAATTGTGCCTAGATTGGAACCCAGGACCCTGTGTGTGCTAAGTAAGTGTTCTACCATTGAGCTATGCCCCCAACCCTTGTACCTAGCATTTAATAGGTCATTCTCCAGGGAGTTTTGTCATTACTTAAATTTCAGAAAAATGTCGGGTCTCTTGTAGCACTCACTGTTGGGAACAGTTTTCCTTCCCTAAAACAAACAAAATGAAACCCATTTTGTAACTTTTCTTTTTATTAGTCTGTTTGTACTTTGTGTGTGCCTTATGCTATTCTAGGCACTGAAAAGAACACATGTGATTATTCCTACCCTTAAAGAAGTCTGCTTCCAGAAGAGAAATAGGCCAGTGATTGAGGCGTGCAGAGAAAATTGATTTCAGTGACTAAGCAGGCGAGAGGACAGTTGTGAGAAGACAGTGACTGCTCCCTCTTTTTGCCTCACCCATCTTATTTGTAAAATGGGAATAAACCTCTCTCATTTGGTTATTGTAAGATATTTGCCTGTAATTCTAGTACTCAGGAAGCTGATGCGGGAGGATTATGAGTTCCAGGCCAGCCTAGGTTACATAGTGAGACCAGTCTTAATCAATGATTCAGTAAATCAATCATCAGTCAATGAAAACAAAATATTGCAAATCTATAGAAAACTTGAAGGAATAATAATACCATATAACCTTCACCTGGATTTCCTCATGGTTAGTATTTCATGTACATTGTTTTTTTCTCTCCTGGACCTTTACAAGTGAGTAGCAGATGCCACTGTATAGTCCCCTTAAGCTTGAGCAGGATCTCCTGAGGAAAAGGACTTTCTGTATTATCCACAGCCACAGCTTCTTTGTCACCCTGGGAGGGGTAGCACTAGTACATGGCTGGGTCATGGGTACTTAGATTTCTCTAGTTGTCCCAACAATGTGCCCTGTCATTTTGATTTTCGTGTTTTAAAGCCTGGAATTCTGCCAAAGCTGCCTCATCACGTTTAGTCATCACATTGATTTCGTTTCTTAGGTGCTCCCCTCTGATCTGTACCCTCATTCTGGCTCCCCCCCCCGCCCCGATTCTTCCCCTCTCCTCCTGTGACAATTTCAACACTGTCTCTCACTTCAGCCCCTGCAGGTGTCACCCAGCCGTAAGCAGCAGCATGGATCTGGATGTGGTTAACATGTTTGTGATTGCCGGCAGCACCCTGGCCATTCCAATCCTGGCATTCGTCGCCTCTTTTCTCCTGTGGCCATCGGCGCTAATAAGAATCTACTACTGGTAAGTCAGCTGTATGACTGAGATTTCCAAAGTATCACAATTTTGTCATCTCCTTTGGTCCTGTTTTTGCTGCTTGCCATTCTATCCTGAAATATTTTAAACGTAAAAATTGAAGGACATGTACCCTCTTTGGAATTTTGAAAGTGGTCTCAAACTGGCAGTTGCTTCTACCAGGCTGACTATTTATGAGTCTGAAAGCCTGTTTGCCTTCGGGCCACCCAGACTCTTACAGCTCTGAACTGTCTACTTGCAAGGTTGTGCATGTTTATGGGAATTGCTTTCCTAGCCACTGGGGACAGTGATGTTTCTGAGAAATGAATTAGAAACTCCAGGATCACTAAGAGGCAAGCGTAGGGCTTATGTATAGCATAGACTGCTTTTAAATTTGCCCTAGAACTGGTTTTGGTCTTGCTGTTTTGTTTTAATTACTATGTTTGTTTGTTTATTTTTGTTTTATTAGCTCAGGCTTGCCAAAAACTTGTTTGAAGGTGACTCCTGCATCCACTTCCCAAATCCACACCCTTACTCTAGAACAGTTTGGTGAGAGACCAAAAAAATATCATAAGGGGGCATGCGTGCCATGGTGTTCGTACGGAGGTCGAGGAGAACTTTGTGGAATAGGTTCTTTCCTTCTTTTTCATGGGTTCTGGGAATCAAACCAGGGTTGCCAGGCTTGCACAATAGGCACCTTTATCAACTGAGTCATCTTGACAGTCTGTGTGGTTGTTTTTGGCTTCATGTAAGCCCAAGCTGGCTTGGAACTTTCTGTATGACTGAGCATGACCTTGAACTCAGGATCCTCCTGTTTCCACTGCCAAAGTGCCAAGATTAGGGGCATAAGCTACTGTGCCTAGCCTTAAAAATCTAGTGATTTAAAAAGTGATATAAATATCTCTACTGTAAAAGAGAAAACTTGCCATAAATGTAAATTAATGTAAAAAAGTAAAAAAAAAAAAAAAAAAAAAAAAACACATTTACATTAAATGGTCTTCCCAAATTCTAGCCTAGATATTGTTGCCTACCAAAGGCTCTGAGTTTCTTTTCTCCTTGTGACCCTGTAAGGGAATGTGAAAGGAGGCCTCTCTCCTTGATGGCATCAGAAGGTTAACACTTGAGGCATTAGGGGTTGAGCCCAGGGCCTGCATGCCCAGCAGGTGCTCTACCACTAACTGACCTATAGCCCTACCTCTTACAAGGTTAACACTTGAAAAGGAAGTGTTTGTTGTGATGTGGTTTGTTGGTTTTCTTTTTTATATTGCTATCCATTTACCAAATAAAGTCTTCTGTCCCACCCCCATGATGAAATGGATACTGAAATAGACCAGATTCTTTTGTAGGCCTCAGATAAACCCAGGCAGATTTATCTGGGCCTTGAGCGGTTAGAAGGAAGTTCTGCACACAGGAGAAGACCACAGGGAGGCTGATGTGTCCTTTTTCTGCCCTCCTTTCTGGCTCCCTTTTGTTTCACTGGCCTGTGGAATTTTCCACCTGCTGCTTAGGCTCTGAGGCTTGAAAAGCAACTAATTGAATTGAAAGCAGTTTTTTATCTTTCACTCTCTTGCTGTCTTTCTGGGGTGGTTGGGGTAGTCACCCCTTAAGAGGATGACCCAGCACCTACCTCTGCATTAACAAATCAAACCCCTGACTGTTTAAATGCCACTATCCTGGCAGCATAGCCAAGACTCCTAGATGACCCTGGATGTGGAGAGGTCAGAGCTGTGTCTCTACCTCATCACCCTGCCAAGAACTGTGGTCCTCCATGCACAGATGCCATTGTTGTTAAACCAAATTGAAATCAGACTGCAGTTGTGTGGATTAAGGCGTGATTCCCCCGCACTGTGGGTGGCACCCAGATTCGGTGCCATATTCAGTCTCCCAACCCCCAAGTCCCCTGAGTGTCAACAAGTACACTTTCAGAATCAGGGGGTCAGTTTTGATTTTTTTTTCAAAGAGGGGAAAAAAGAACCCCTTTTTAAACTGAGTTCCAAGTCACATAGAATAAAAGTTTCCATGAGAAAGTGTATACTAGGGTTTGTGCCCCACCCCACGCCTGTTGAGATTCATTCCCATTGGAACTTCTTAAGTGATTAAGAGAGATGAATGCTCCCTGGTGAGACTGCACTCATTGCTACATGAGAGCTAGTTGCTGTACATCAAGGCAGCTCCACATGTTCTGTATTTTCTGAACGTTGCCACTTGTCCTTTAGCTTTCTGCAGTGAGTTGAAACACACAGAATCTTCACCAGAAGCCAAGCAGACTTTTCAGCCTCCAGAACTATTAATCCATATAAGCCTCTTTCCCTTATAAATTACCTAGTCTCAGGCTTTTTGTTATAGCAACAAAACGCAGATAAAGACAGTTGTTTCCATCTTTTGAACTTTTCTTTAGGAATAATGCTGCATAGCAAATAGTTCGCTTTTATTAGCAAATAATACCACCAAAAGCCAGAGGGGCCCGGAGAGTGGTGCATTTAGGTCTTCGTTGGTTGGCAGTATTGGCTGTGTGTGATCTTAAAACCCCTGCCGCCCAACTCTGAGTGGTGGCCAAGGACAAACACAATGTTCTTTATTTTGTGAACTCAAACACACAGTCCAAAAAGAAGACTCGGTTGAGGAGGATGAAAATCCTGGAAAACTTTTCAGATGATGCCAGATGGCATGGCGACATGGGGGACTGTGGTTTCAGTAACAGGACCCGTGATGCTGCCACCAAGAGCTGTCAGGCCTTGAGCAGCTTCTTCTGCCACCCTGAAAAGCACAGCCTGTTTCCTCCAGATCTCCTCACCGCAAGTGGCATCTACCCAGCTCTTGTTGTAGGATGAGCAGCTCTCCCACAAGTCACTGAGGTTCCTCAATCACAGCTACTCCAAAGGTCTTCATCTGCTCACCTGCCTGTCATAACCACAGTGGTGTCACTTCACAAACCTGACAGGGACTCGGGTTGCTTTTCAAGGTGACCACACAAATGGGCACAGCAGGCGGTAGAAGTCTCTCTGCTGCTCACCCCTGTGCCCACTGCCACTTGAGCATCAGGACTTGGTGAAATCATTGTGCATCCTACTCCTGTGGGGTCTCTCCCTTTCCTCGTGGGTCGCTGGCCACTGGTCCACAAGGACAAAGGGAGCAGAAGCGACGAACGGGGTCAGGGACGGCCAGTGAGCACTGACAGAAGAAAGCCCTTCTGGGGAGGCAGGTTCAGTGATACAAACAGCTCCAGACTCAATGAAAACGCTCCAGATTCAGTGAAACAGCTCCATTATTCAGTGGGGGTTAGGGAAAATATAGTGAGGAGGCAGTAGCCAATGCTTCAGCTGATAGGTGCTCATAGTATGCTTTATTTACATGTGGCAGTAGGCTCCTATCATCCGACTACTGGGCAATGCCTAATTATCATATAGAAAAAACCTGGGGATAGTTTTTACTCCAGGTAACTATGCCAAAGGTCATGTTCCAAATAAGGTCAGGCATCCGTGCTTGGTGGCACTCTCCAGGTAAGTCAGGCAGAGAGCAGGAGGCCCCCTGCTGAGAAGGGGAGTCCTTCCATATGGCGCCGAGCCCCTTAGAGCTATCCGGACATGGAGGACTACAACCCTAGCAACAGGGTTCCCCAACATCTCTCCCTGTTTTGTTTTACAATGCAGAAGTGTCATCACAAGCTTTAAGAGCCAACTCATCTATCTTGGGAGAATCCAAAGTTTGATAATTGACCATGACCTATTTGGTAGTAATTTCAGCAATGGTAGTAATTTTTAAGAAATTGAAGAAATTGTATGAATCAGGGAGCAAGCATCAAAATAACATACTCAGGGGGCTATTGATATTGTAACATTCCACTCTGAAGAGGTAACCCCAAAATCTTTTTGGGATAAGAGCTCACAAATACTTTTAACGTTTTTGTCCTTTGGGATCCTCTCCCAATACTACACACGTCCCCCCATGTTCAGCAGTTATTAAGTCCAGTGCTCTTCTGTTTTGGATCACAACCCCGGCAAGAGAGTTCATTTGTCGTTGGAGAGACTTGAGGCTGTCAGTCGTGGATGCTATTGCCTGGTCCAGCTTGTCTCGAAAGTCTCCTGCTAGGTGATGGTTTTGTATAATAGCAGAGGTGGCAGTGCCTCCAGCACCCAGGGAGAGGGCAAGTCCAAGTCCCACTAGCACAGGGATGAAGATTTCTCTCTGCTGGTGGGTGTAAAGGAGGAGGGCAGCCTCCTCTTCCTCGAATAGGTACACCTGGGGTGTAATCATTACGGGTACACAAAAGGTGGACAAAGAGGAGTTAATACAGTGTTGGGCGTTTCCTTTGCACCATAGAAAAACAGGAGGGGCCACGCATGCTGTCCTGGAGAGAGTAATGTTAGAGAGGCATTTGTAATGAGTAGGCTTACTCTTGCTGGAAATGCAAATTGGATAGTTAGCCAGTTGTTCGAATAAGGGAATATCCATCAGATGAGAGTCACTGAAATCTTTTTTTGTTTCTGGATAAAGAAGGGTGGTATTAACTGGTACTGCTGTCAGTAAAGGTCTATTGCTGGATGCACAAAAGAAACAGTTAGAGGCATTGGGGTGGGTGGTGAAGGGAAGAAAGGTGAAGGGAAGAAAGTTAACAACATATTGAATGTATTGGCTCCAGGACATGGTTGATCTTATCTGGTCCTCTGTTTTTCCTGTAGAATAATACTATGATGAGTTAGCATGGGCTTAGCTGCAGGTACAGAGATATGAAAGTCAGCTGTAGGGTAGCTAGAGAATGCACCTGAGTAGAACTTTCCCATTACTCCAATACACCAGCAATCGTACCATGGATCTGCAACATACATTAGGGAATAGTCATGGTTCCCATAGAGATACTGACTATCCTTTAGGTAGGTGGGTCTTTCCTGTCCTGTTATGCCCTGATATCCCCCAGTTAATCCTAGTTCCAACCTACAGGGATTGAAATAGCAGCAGCCCCCATAGGTATCAACTTCCTTGAGGCATGATGGATCTGTCTGTCGGAAAGG